GATAAGGTGTAATGGATGCTGTCAATATACAGACCGTGGCGCCGGCATTAAAAAAGGGGAAGACATTTCGGAATGACTTATCCCACGCATGGAAATAGAACGGTGGCGGCGTACAGGGATCAGGAACGGGGACAATAGGCTGGTTGTGGCCCGAATCTGGGTGCCTCGGTGCCTAAAAGGACTCGTAGGTCTGAGTTATCAGGGCGGGCGGGTACCTATCGGCGCCTTGCTACCAGTAATAACCAGCGCCAGGCGTCAGACAGACTCGGGCGGAGGACAGCGAAATTGGGCATGTCGTCAGATGCCGCCAAGCCGAGCAAGCGCAGACGACACCTTGAACGAGCGGCAGCACGGCCGCAGGGCAACAACGCAGTTCGCGCTTCGGTTCAGTCGAGTCCGGATTCATTGCAGCTCGTAGCAAACACACTGACGATACCACGCAGCAGATTCAGAGTATACACTGATCTCGGAGCATAGCTAGTCTTCATCCATCCTGCAAGCTAGATTACCGTCCACCCGTCAAACCGCACCGAACCTCTTGTCACCCCCGAGTCATGCCCGCCGGACGCTGCACTCCCTCTCCCAGCCGGTGACCTGACAACCAATGCGCGCCCTCACATTCTCCTCTTGATCTTTGCCGGAGATGCCATCTGTGGCCTCGGACCCTCCTCTCGCTGTTGTCTCGAACAGCGTCAATTCCGCCTCGCACTCGTCCTCAATTGATGGCCTTCCCCGAAAGTCGCACGACAAGACAATCAGCGGTGTCTTTACCTACACCAACGGAACAGACGTCGAGACGGGGCTTCCCGACCACAGGCTGGATCAGCTCAAGAACATCAGGAGCAATACCAGTCATGGCTCCCTGACAAATGGCAATGTCAAGGCCCCGCCCAGGGATCGATCACATTCGAAAGCCAGCACCCATTCCGTAGGGAGCACCAGCGCGGCGGCGAAATATACAGACAATCTGTCCAAGAGTCCGGCGTCGTCGGAGGGAGTGTTATCGAAGTTGTCCACGGTCGAACATGCTACGGACCAGAATGCAGAATCGGGCAATGGCATCCTCGGGCACTCGTCAGCTGGAAGAGCGCCTCCAGATCTGGCCAAATTGAGGACGAGTAGTCCTCCTGTAAAGCCCGACCACGATCCTTACCACATGGTCACTGCTTCGACTGTCCCAGACTCGGCACGCCTCGATGGAGCTGCCAGCCCAGGCTCCGCTCGCGGGCCGGTCCCGTCTCTTTCACGATTCTCCTCTCCCCCTGCCATGTCTCCAGGTGCTTCCATACAGGACCGACATCCCGACCTCTCGCCGCACCCCGAAGCCCCAAAACTCACCCATCGTCATACCTTGCAGGTTCCGAAGACAGGCGGTCTTGGTGCGGCGGGGCGTAACTCCCGCGATTTTTCGTTCAGTGGAGGGCCGTCCGAAGAAGCACTCTCTACAACCACTGGTCGGTTTTCGCCGACCCGGGAAAACTACGAGGGATCGGCCGTGAGGCACCGGAGGGCATCGCTCGGCCTTGTTCGTAGGACAACTCGGTCGATGCAATCCGAAGCCCACCTGGATGAAGTCCCTCCGGATGAAGACGCCGCCCGTTGGACCGAGCTGATCAAGCAGAAAAGAGCGAGCAGACGGAAGAGGAAAGAGGATGAAGATGACGACCGCGTCATTGTCGGAAAGAAAGTCGAGGAAGGTCACGTCAATTGGGTCACTGCCTACAACATGTTGACTGGGATTCGATTTACTGTGTCGAGAACAAATGCGAAAATGGACCGAGAGTTGACAGACGCCGACTTCGACGCAAGACACAAGTTCAGTTTCGATATAACCGGAAACGAATTGACTCCGAGCGCCAAATACGACTTCAAGTTTAAAGACTACAGCCCTTGGGTGTTTCGGCATCTGAGGGCCATCTTTGGACTAGACCCCGCCGACTACCTGGTCAGTCTCACCAGCAAGTACATCCTGTCGGAGCTGGGCAGCCCCGGAAAGTCGGGCTCTTTCTTCTACTTTTCACGGGACTACAAGTACATCATCAAAACCATCCATCATGCCGAGCATAAGTTGCTGAGGAAGATATTGCGGGACTATTATCGTCATGTGGTGGACAACCCGAACACGTTGATCAGTCAATTCTATGGTCTACACCGGGTGAAGATACCCTATGGTCGGAAGATCCACTTTGTTGTCATGAACAACCTCTTCCCGCCGCATCGAGACATACACCAGATGTTCGACCTCAAGGGTTCCACCATTGGCCGGGATTTTAAAGAAGAAGACTTGGCCAACAATCCGAGAGCGACCTTGAAGGATCTGAATTGGTTACGGAGAGGATACCACCTCGAATTCGATGCTCGGGTGCGCCAGATCTTCCTCGATCAGATGAAGAGAGATGTCGCGCTTCTGCAACGACTTCACATTATGGACTACTCTTTGTTGGTCGGTATGCACGACCTGGAAAAGGGAAATGAGGAGAACCTCCGTGAAACGACTTTGCGGGTGTTTCAGCCGGGCGGCGAAAGTCACGAGGATGATTATTCGGCACCTCTGATTCGGACCCCATCACGACTCGAGACGGCGAGAAAGGCCCGAGAGCTGAGGTTGACGCTCAAAAAGGAGAAGCCGATTCCTATGGGTCTGGTGAATGCTAAAATGCCTACGGAGCTGGCTTCTGGTGATGAGCGGCGTGACCGAATCTTCTACAGCTTTGACGGTGGCATCCGTGCTACGCATGAGGATGGTCGGGGTGGTGATTCGATATACTACCTCGGCATCATTGACTGTTTGACCCACGTGAGTCCTAATGTGTTCGTGATTACCATTCCCTGGCTGACTCTCCGCACAGTACGGTATGATCAAAAGAATTGAGCATTACTGGAAGGGTATGTCGGCGCCGCGTACGCAGATATCAGCCATCCCGCCGCAAGCGTACGGAGAAAGATTCATCAATTTCATTACCGGAATCACCATGACACAAGAAGAAGCCCAGAGACGAACAACACAGGAGAACTATCGAGCCGGAGAACAGGTAGCCGGACAGTCTTCTTCCGCCGAGAACCTTGGTCGGCCATCAGACGCCACTTCACCCATAGACTCGTCGCCCGCCGTGGAAAAGACGATGATCAAAGCACAAAAACAAACGGACAAGGCGACGCCCTCGGACAAAGGTCGGAGTCAGAGCGAGGAGGAGAAACCTGATCGAACGTTGAAGACGGCGGAGGACTCTCGAACGGCCATGACTTTACCCGTTGTGAGCGAGTCTAATGAGAGCCAAGAGTCCAGCAGAAACCAGAAGCGGGCGCTGAGTCCGCCGGACGAGACTGAGGAGGAACAACCTGAAAGGACCCCACCACAGTCGCCCTCGGCACCGGCGGGCTCCTCAATACCCGGTCTCCGCAAGGTCTCACCTTCAACAGTGACGACGGGTACAGACATGGTCGGGGACGATACGAGTGTATCAAGTCCTCAGACCCAAGCAGTCGACTTTGAGCCGGAGTCTCACGGCGATGATGACGATGATGATTATTCGAGGCGAAATGACTTTGGGGACGAGCTGACCGAGAAGCCGCCACGCATAGCGAGCGATCTGATTCAGCCTCATTCTCCGCTTGAAGACAGTATGTTCAGATCGTTGAATCATCAGGTGAGGGAGTCTGCGCATGGGTCATGAGCGCATCACGATAATTTGGACGCAAAAGTTCTGCCAGACCAACATAGACAATACCCTTTGTTTTCCACGATGATGCCTGCTGTGGCGTTTGCATCCAGGAGATGATCAGTCACCGGCACTGGGGCAGCAAACAACGAGAGGCTACATCTAAAAAGCTCGGCGTCTACCGAATCAGGTTTCCATCAGGACGCGGTTCTTCAGAAGAGGGTAGCATGGGGATTCTCCCTTGCATCGTAACGGCAGCGAAAGCGGATGTACCTAGGCAGCCCACAGAAGCCACTCGAGGAGGTTGGAGCCGTTTTCGCTCTCCTGCCTGCGTATCCAAACACGAGCAGGAACAGAGACGAGATCAAGAGGCTGTATCCAAACATTGGGCGAAGGAGGCGGAACGGGGGTTGTATCTGTAAAATCTTGAGGGCGAGCAAGCTAGACCGTGCCTGGCGTCTATCATCTATCCTGCGAGCATCGTATGCGCCAACCTGATAGCAAGCAAGCAAACAAGCAAGCCAGCGAGCCAGCCTACGTAACCCTAATTATCGCTGACGTCTTTCGATGTGGCCTTTTCGTCTTTGCGCCTCCGTAAGCCTCATGATCTTCACCAGACCTGTGGCGGTGACGAACTGGGTGCCCAATAGCGTGACGTTCCAGGCCTCTAAACAAGCTCATTCATTAACGTTTGGCCGCTAAATGATCTTGTTTTTGCTAGGCGCCGCCACCGCCGCCACCGCCGCCACCCTCCGCGTATGCAGTACCCCAGTACGCAGTCCTCACAGCATGACGTCGAGACGCCGGCGTGTGCCGAGCACCTATCCGGGCTTTGCTGATATATATAACTCGTACAGGGTAGTCTCGTGGTCTTATCACTCTGCCATGCCCCCAGCGTGTTCTCACTTGCATGAAGACGCGGAGATCCATTCCGACGGGAGTTTTCCAGATCAAAATCCACACATAGACATATTTCGACTCGGACGTCGACGCCGACTCGGACTTCGAGGTCACTCAGACATCACACCACGACTCGCGATCTGGAGCCCGAATAATTGACTACCGGTACGATTTACGAGGAGGCAGCTCAAGGAGTCCATCGGTCCGGTCCAGCCTACTACGGGGACCTTGTGTAACGACCTTTATACCTGGGTTTACAACCAGCACACACATATACACATACACATTCTTCCACGATGGCCCGCGCGGCTTCTTCAACCGTGAGTACACACTACACCCTGCACACTATATACCGTCCCTGCTGCACCCACTTCACGGATAAACATCACATCACATAACTATTGCAACGCGCGCAGGGAAAGGTAATTTACTCTACTAACTCACCCGTTTTCCGACCAGAGCGACGTCCTCCTCTACTTCCTCGCCCTCTTCCTCCCGCCTTTGGCCGTCTTTCTCAAAACGGGATGCGACTCCAACTTCCTGATCAATATCCTGTTGAGCATCCTGGGGTGGATTCCTGGCGTTATTCGTGAGTGCCGATTTAATTTGTCCCTTGTGTTGTATTCTTGCCTTTTCAAGTCACGCGGCGGCTCCCACTCCCGCTCAGGCTCACACGTACTACCCTCATCCGCTCGTCTTGAGATTTTTCCCTTGGGAGATTTCTCCGCCCGTCTTGAGAGATCCCCGCGCTGATGGTCGGTTGTCTGTACACCAGATGCGTGGTGGGTGATTTCGCGGTATGAGAGGCCGGCGGCTGTGATTGTCACGTAGCAGCCCTTGACTGTGGCCACGGGACGGTGTAACTGCTCTGCGTATACGACAGTTGTCAGCCGGGGGTATGCTGACTGGTCGGTGGTGAATGATGAATGGTGAATGATGGAGTATGGATCGGTTCGGTACAGCGTTCAAATGCAGAAACGCAAACAGCAGAGAGTAATGGTAAGAGGGAGGGTGTTGTTTGAATCCCAGCGTTGGGCGGGAACGGACACCTGATAGCTCGGGAATCGTTGACGGGTACTGGACGGAAGTACATATGTAATTATGTTTGCCTCATGATACCCAATCCGCATGTCGAGGTATGGGTTTATCACGGGTTCTTGATCAATCACTCCGGCTATGATATGACTGATCAATAGAAGGATTAGTCTATCGTAACTCGGCTGGTCCGACAGTTGTGTTTATCTTACTCGTTTGAACAAAATATAACTACAGCAGCCGCTCGATCATCCCTCTATATGCAACCTATTGATCTCATTATCATCAACCTGACCGAATGGCCCCGTTCAATACGCAGCGTTGATATTAGCAAGCGATTGGTGGAGTTTGATTTCCGTTCGCAACTATATCCTTATGTGTTTATAGTAGCACCACTGCTCTCGGCGCTTTCCCCTCAAGGTCGTTCGTCACCTTTGACCTCCGCCTCCTTCAAACCATGATCCCCAGCATCTGTGATGACGTTAAGACTATCGTCCAACCGCACCGTGTCCGATAATATCGCTGCTGACGGGAGGACCGGGCGTGGTTGCTGGACGTGTCGCCTTCGCCGGAAGAAGTGCGACGAGGGCAGACCCAAATGCAGAAACTGCACGGTACTGGAGATTTCTTGCCACGGTGGCCCGGTCAAGCCAGAATGGATGGATGGGGGCACGAAACAGAAGGAGATGTCCCAGAGAATCAAAGCCCAGGTGAAGCGCCGCGCGGATGCCCGGCGAGAGAAGCAAATAACAGGACGGGGTTCCAGCGGTTCAGCAGATTTGAACTTCATACTTGAGTCAGGACGAGGCATTGTATCCGAGACATCCAGGCCAAGCCAGCCGCAGATCCACACTTTACACCACAATGTCGTTGGACCACGTGGGTGCTCTTCCAACACTGACACGGCGGCGGCGGAAAGAGCTGTTGCTGCTGACTCCGATCACCGCGACGAATATATCAACCCTGTTCGGCCCCGGCATGTATCGACAAGCGAAGCAAACACGCACGGATTCGATCCGACGCCACCGCGCCAGATCGTCGGCCTAGACTGGACCGTGTCGGTGCTCGGCTTTCTCGACGCCTACGAGGAAGTCGACGACCATCTCCCGATGCTGGCGCGTGGGCGCGACTTCGAACTCGACTTCCTGATGAAGTACATGGACCACGTGTTCCCCCATCAGTTTCCCTTCTACCGCCCGGGACTGCACGAGACGGGCCGGAGCTGGATCCTGGCCCTCGTGCGACGGAGCCGGGTGGCCTTCCACTCGGCCATGAGCCTCAGCGCCTACTTCTTCACGTTCACGCTGATCGACGCGTACCCGGGCCAGCATGACTCGTGCAAGAGCCAGCTCTGGGCCAAAGTGGGCAGCCAGACGGACATGTGCTTCGAGATGATCCAGCGTGACATACGGGGTTTGCGCCATCGTGGGTTCCGAGCGACGCTCGTCGAAAAGGCCCGCGTCATGGAGAGTATTGTCCAGGTGCTGATCTTCGAGGTCACGCTGGGTCGGTCCGCCAACTGGAATCTCCATCTCACGCCGGCTCTTGCGTTGTTTGACGACATCTGGACGAGTACCGGTACCGCTTCGATCGCAGACGGAGAACGGCCGGAATCTAAACTGCTGGCCGTGCTGGATGCGATGGCGTTGAGTCTCCAGTTTGGTCTCGAGCGCGAGCACGGCGGCCGTGGAGGCGGCTACGTGTGGAGCCCCGAGCAGGCCGGCTTTCGGTTCTTCACGGGTCTCTTGGTCTTTATCGACATCGTCGCCAGCACTGCCCTTGAGCGGCCACCTTGGCTGAGTGAGCGACATGCACATCTGCTTGCAGATCGCGACCATGGGGTGCCCGTTTTCGGTTCTGTCACGGTCCAGCTGTCCGGTCTGGTTGGCTGTCAGAACTGGGTCCTCCTCGCTGTGAGCCGGACAACGCTGCTGGACGTGTGGAAGAAGGAGATGAAAAGGACGGCGAGTTTGTCCATGGTGGAACTAGTTGATCGCGCGAGCCACATCGCTCGGGTCCTGAAAGATGGGATTTCTCGCCTCGACCGGCAGCGGCAGCGGCAGCGGCAGCAACAACAGGTTCCAGGCACTCGGAATGATAACCCTCTCGACTATCGGTCCTATTTCGACGGCCACGGCCACGGCCGCGACCAGGACCAGGACCAGGACCGCCTCCCTACGTCGCAGACGTCGTCAACAAGATCGACCGAGATCTGGGCTCACGCTGCACACATATACCTCGCGGTCGTTGTTTCGGGATGGCAGCCATCCAATCCAGAAATCCGCGCTTCCGTGTCTCGCGTGCTCGAGCTGCTACGGACGGCCGACCGCTCGACCCACGTGAGGACACTGGCCTGGCCGCTCTGCGTTGCCGGTTGTCTGTCAGAGGCGGGCATTCATGAGGAGCAATTCCGGGATTTGTTCGCCGACATGGACGAGCTCAGCATGGTCGGTGCACTGGGCGAGGCTCGCAAAGTCATGGAGAAGGTGTGGGAGCATCGAGAAACCCTGGACCACGAGACGTGGGATCTCGCGGCTTGTTTCCGGATCCTGGGCGCACCTGTACTGCTGGTGTAGGGTCGAGACGATGAGGGCAGTTCACTGCTGGAACAATGGCGGCATACGTCCATTTTGGACGTCTTTGTGGGGGGCGGTGATTTACCAGCTTATTTGCCCTGCACTACACAATACATACACCGGCAAGACACTTCGAGAGTATTCACTAAAGCAGCCTCTGCACCATCATCCAGCCCAGCACTCCCACCTCAAGAGGCGAACATACCAAACGACGCACCACGACTACTTGCCCACCCAGACACTGAGCATCTCTCTGACCGTGGTGGGCTTGATGTCCGGGAATTTCCTATTCAGAGACCCATCCTCCGGCAAATCGAACAACCCCAACGTGACATACAATGCGAACTTGCTGAAATATTGCTGAAACATGGGCTTCGGGAAGAAAGGATAGACCGCAGGATGGGAGGGCAGCTCGGTCATCTCGCCCTTCTCCAGCGTCTCGACACTATCGTATGCGACCGTGAACTTTGAGCCTGCGGGTTCCCGTCAAAGATACGTTCCTGTCAGCTCAGCCAGCGGGATCGTGGACGTCTTGGGGCGATCAGAGGTACAGGTGCAGCTGCAGGAGCGGGTGTGTGCAAAAGCAGTTCCACAGAGCAAAGCCAACTGACCTCTCATCTCTTCGGCCACGCGCAGAAACTCATTCCACGTCATCTTATCTCCATAGCAGAACATGGCCTCGTCCCACACAGGCAGGTCGAGTGCCGCGACGACAAACTTGGCCAGATCCCTCGTGTATGTAAAGGCGACGACGTCGTCGCCCGTGCCCGGGATGGCTGCCGCCTTGTTGGCCATGTCCACGGTGAAAGCGACTGGCGTCATGTGGCTCTCGACGTGCGGCATGCCGAAATAGTCGAGGAAATAGCCGTTGTGGATGCGCGTCCACTCCAGGTCGGTCTTTTGCAACTCGGCAATCACGGCGAGGCGGGATTCGTGCTGTGGCAACTGTATGCTCCTGTATCGTCGGGGAAAGACATTTTTTTTAGATTCTGCGTACTTCTGAGACGTGGACTTGGGTATTGGGCACGGAGAGCTCGACAGAATGGATACATAATACTGCGTCGTGGGTACTGCGTACTGTGTACTTACCTGTCAGTAGGCGCCAAAGTACCGTATTCACTCGCGACGAAGCGTTTCGTCGCCTTCGCCATTGCTGCAGCCTTGACGAGACTGATCTCGGAGGCGGCCTCAGTGGGGCCTCTGATGCTGAGGGCAGAGACCACGGTATGGACGTCGTTTGTCTCGAGGAGACGAGACACCGACTCGACATCGCCGTAGTCGACCGCAAAGACGGGGACGTCTATCTCTGGAGCCTTGGATTCCTAAGTACATACATGGTTGCTTAGTAGGGGACATGCAGGTCGGAAACCACAGATAGAAGACGGCGAAATTTTGCTGGGGAAGGGGGGAGGTCAAAAGGCATGTTGTGGCATGGTAGTACTCGCTCGCTCGCTTACTTTGCGTGCCAGGACAATGACCTTGTGGTTTGGGCTCTCCTTTAGCGCATCCACGATCGTACGGCCCAGATCGCCGGTGCCTCCTGCAACTGCGACGGTGACCATATTGGTTGATGCTTTAGATTCGGTAGAATGCGATGTCGGAGACCAGCGAATGGTTCAAAGTAGATAGGTAGACAAGTAGGTAGGCGGGTAGGTAGGTAAGAGGTAGTGAGACCTAGCAAAGTCGGCAGTTGGAAGTCAAGAAAGGGTGAAGTTGGATGTTCAGGCTCGATGTGTCTTGTTCCCTTCTCACTGTACAATCTGGGTAGGTCCTCAATATATACCTACCACGGTACCTACCTTCCTACTGACTGCCGCTCTGTCTGCGCGACATTTGCATCGATGTGCATTGCATGCAGCCTGCCGTCCTGTGCATGCGTTGAGCATGACGAAGTCAACCCCGACCGATTTGTAAGCTTGAACATTGAGTTTCATACACACGCAGCGCTTGAATTCGGTGGTGTATCATGATGATCGGGTGGACTACTGTATCTTGAGTTTGGCCTCAGGCGTCCGCTATTGTCCTCTTTCCCCTGCTGGATGCGCGCGCGCGATGACGGCGTTTGACGTTAGCACGAGGGAGTTAATTCAGCGCGCCCCTAGTCCGGATTGGGCCCAACGCGCGGTGGTCCATGAACGGTTAGTCTCTCGATGGCGATTATGTTGCGTCCGGGGCCCACCATCGCTCAACGGAGATTCGAAGAACCGGTCCAACATGGCGATTGATCGAGTTTGATCGTGTTCGCCCGTCCCGCCTCGTCTGGAATCGTCTGGCCTGGTCAAGTCATCAGTCACATCATGCCTGAACCTCACTTCCCACGGGCATGTGGTTGTCCCGACTCCTGAATCCGACCGAAGACTATGTCTCCTATGCGGATATCCGTCTCCTGCATACTGTGGACAAAGCCACTGTACCCGTGTAGTTCAAGACCATCGTTCCAGCATTTCTCGGCATGGACATCGATCTTTGCGTCACTCATTCCCAAGCAGCAGCTCAACAGCCTATGGTCGTGATCAGTGAAGACTCCGACCCAGACCCAGATCCGCGCTGGTGGCCTCGAACTGCCAAGTGCGAACAACATCGAACGGAGAGTGGACTGTCGTGTCGGCACACCACGACGTCTGACCGCTCGATCACTCAGCTATCCCGTCACTCGAACACGCGAGCACCCGATACTCATGGGAAGCAGGCAAACAGGAAGGAGGTGGGTCGGATTGACACGTAAGTATATCAATGACACTTGGCGCTATAGTAAAGAATCGTCTCGGGCTCGGGACCTCAGTCTTCTAGTCGAGACAGTCTGCTCCTCATGCTGTTTTCACCCGATAGCTGCATTGTCGAATAGGTAGAGAGGCAGGGCGGCCCCGTCGGACGGACAACCAGGTCTTCTACATAGGCACCCCGTCCAACAACCAAGTCAACAACCGCGAACTTTGAATCTCTTCCTTCCGCGCCATCATCTCGTCGGCGTCCCAATTGGCCCAGACTGTTTTACTTTTCAGGAACTTGGCCTCCTGGCTGGCGAGCCAGACGGAAAAATGTCCCGGCAGATCAGCTAGAGGGTGTTAGCGCGCGCCCGGCCGCATCTACGCAAACGTTTGGCCAAGTTGAGCGAACAGGGGCAAAAAACTCACGAGAATCCCAATGCGACACCGAGTCCTTGTTCGGCTCGGACATTTCCGTTTCGATGACTCCGGGGCAAACGTTGACGACATGGACCTTCGGGTTCTCCGTCGCGATGTAGTCGATCATCTTGTGGTTCGCCGCCTTGCTTACCATGTAGGGACCTATACCCGGGATCGGCGCCATGTGTGTCCCCGTCCCGATGTTGAGGATCATGGGTGCGCTCCCGTCCGGGGCGGAGGATGAAAGAGGGAGGAAAGCCTGGATGGAGTAAAGGGCGCCGCGGACGTTGGTCTCAAACCCGGCCATGAGGAAATCGGCGGAGACGGTGGCTAGGGCTCCTGCACCGGGAAACACACCCGCGTTGGAGATCAAGATGTGCAACGGACCGACTTCTCCAGCGAGGGACCTGAATGATCCGTCAACGTTGGCTTTCTTGGTCAGATCTGTAATGCGGTATAGCACTTTCACGGCTTTCTTGCTCTCCTGTGCTGCGTCGGTGATGGCTTTCGACGAGGTGATCAGACGGTCTTCACGACGCCCGAGGATGGAAATAGACTGAGCGCCGGCATGGGCGAATGCAATGGCGATGTGTTTACCGATGCCGGTGCCGCCCCCAGTCACAACGACGTTCTTCCCAGAGGCAGAGAGTTCGGGACGGGTCGGGGATATGGTGGCATAGGATTCCGAGTGCCACGTTTTGGTGAAGGAGGTGAAGGTCGAGGGGATGGAGAAGTCACTGTCGCCCATTTCGAATCACAGCTGGGATCGTTATCAAGGCGATGGTGCTTGTTTGGGTTCAGGTCGTTGACGTGTTGTTGCCAGTCCGTCGTGGAAACAGCGCCCTCCGGCGCCAACTGATATATCGTCGAGACAGATTGACCATTTCCCCTTGACGATTACATATTCTCTCTGTCGAGGCATTTGAGCACTTCGTAATCCTTCTGCATCATCGTCGCGCATAACTCCCACAATGCTCCTTGCCCTCTGGTTGCTGATAAATGCCAGTTGGATCCGCCTGACCAGCCCAGTCCTCTGTATTCAGCCTCTGCCCTTGCCCTCTGAGATCCAACGAGCACATGACCAATGAACAGAGGCAACCTCCCCTGGTGTGGGTTCGTTGGTCATCAAGATATGGGAGTATCCAGCCGGCAAGCGTCCGGTATAGTGTTTGCAGCTCACTTGGGAAGGTGTTTCGTGGGTTAGACACAGTCTAACACCGACTTTTCGACCGGATTTCTTGGCATGTCGTTGTATTTCGAGCGCATGGGACGGGCAGAGTCGAAAAGCTTTGCCCTTTTTGATCCCCTTGGCCCGTGTCCGGGTTGGTAGTCCAGGGGGACGCCACTAAGACGGTCTCCGTGTTCGGCCAGTGAAACATTGGTAGAGTTGAAGACGATTAATATACCGCCGAGGGTCGGACTGTTCCGAAATATCGTAGCTATGTTAAAGACCATGAAAGAAGCTTTGGTAGTAGACGTCAGGCTACAAGTCCTTCGACAATGAAGAAGGATACTTTGGCGGCACACCTCTCTGTGGTTGTGTTGCTCTCCCGATATGCTGTGGGTAAATGGCTTTCGAGACCTGAGAGCCGAAGCATCGTGGTCTTTACAGCACCCCCATCGAGGACGATTGCGCGAGCCCTTTTCTACTGATGAGTAGCAGAGTCCCTGACCTCGTCCGATAACATATTCAGGTGTTGGCCAGATGATGTCGATACTCACCCAGTTGAAAGCGCCATTCGCGGACAACCATGGGTTGCCAAGCAGACAACATCCCTAGAAACTCGTCGAGAAAGACACTTGGGTGCAACTCATGGTTGCGGGCAGACTTTGGCGTCGGACCAAAGCCAGCTTGGACTCTGACACATATATGCCCGGCATTTGGCGTATCACTGTATTTGGCGGCTTCCTTCATGGGAACGCGTCGGTCGCCAGCAATGGCTGAACCAGAAAATGAATGTCTCACAAGCGGAACCCAAGTCTGTGTATGCATGCACGGCGCTCCAGATATTACCTGGTAGATGCCTGGCCGTGAGCTTCATAGCACACCCGTTCGTCGAGAGAAATATGGATTCACTCAAAGCAACTGACGGACGGACGAAATTTGCAAGGTGAGGATTAATCATCTGAAGCCAGATTCGCAGGTGGGCAATTGTTAGAGAGCTCCTCCCCTCCCACGGGATCAGTACAGCCTAAATCGGGTACTTGGGCCCCATCCCTCAGGCGAGCCAGCTGCCTGGGTGGCCTAAGCTGGGGAGACTAAGGTAGGGAGCGGGGTGGCTATGATGGCCACGTATCCTCTACAGTACCCCATTTCCCACAGGGAAAGGTACAGAGTCCGAGTTACTGAGTAACCAATGTCAAAAGTTCACACCCCGTCAACCACTAATCCTCGAGCATGCCAAACTCCAGCCTAGTCCCCCATGTAAACATACAACTTTTGACCTCGTAGTCGCGGGATGCCATTTTGGATGATGGGTGCAACAAATCTCAGCCTTCCTCTCAAGGTCGGTGGTCGGGCCTTGCAGAGCTGAGATCAACGAGACTCCCACTGAACTTCATGCCTGTGTCGAAAATGTCTTGCGCAATGTTGATCCCCAGGGGCACGCCGCCAAATGGGACCTTCGGGTTGGCGACGCCGTCCCGCGGGCCCAGAGTTTGGAACCAATCTTGCTGATCAACTGGTAGATAGCTCGTGGTCCCGTCATTTTCTACCTGATACTGCTGCACATAGTTGACAGGACGAGGCAGAGATACGTCTTCGCCCGCGCCACCCTTGGTGTAGGGCACCAAAACATCCTTACCGTTGAAGGCATCAAAATGCCAGTGCACGCCGAGCCAAATGCGTGAGATGGCGTTGGAGAAGATGGCTTCTTTCATGCTCTGGAACTTGAAGACGAGGCGGGTGCGCACTTCGCCTGCCTGATCTGTGATGGCCTGCGCGGGGTTGTAGGGTTGGTACAGGATATTGCGGGAGATACCGTTGAGTTCGTCAGAGATGAATTCGAAGCGGATACTGTCGTTGGCTGTTTTGGGGTCCAGTTTGGGGGGTTTCATGGGCTCTTGTCCCCCGCCACCCGTACCGGCACCTTCTTTCATGTCGGAAGACGAGGGCAATGGAGTGAGAACGCCGTCACCGCGCTGGTGGTAGAAGAGACGGACCATTTGAAACGCTGCGGCTCCAAAGGTAGCGTGACCGGAAGGATAAGCCGGGAAAGGGGGCTTAAAGCCGCCCTCGTTGCTGTTAGTGGAGGGGGCGCCGAGGACTTGCCAGGTCGGGCGAGCGAAGCCCTCAGGCACTGGACCTGTGGGGTCCGCACGGACGCCGGAGAGAGGGCGCCAGAGTTCGTACTTGTACTTGTCACGCCAGCAGAAGATGCCGGCGTCCGCCATGGCCGTGTTGGCCAGGGCGAAGAGGCGGAGAAACTGCGCGTTGTTCTCATCCGAGTGAAGGTCGGCGTCTGAGCCCACTTTGTTGTCGAAGGCGACTTGGCGGATGATCTGGTTGTAGAGGCGAGGAGGAGTACCGATCAGGTTCACGCCGTCATAAGCCCAGAAGAGACCCGCTACCGTCTGAGATGGGCGGCGTTTGGTGCTGGCAAGCCCTTCGATGCCGCCCATCCGGAAGACATCTTGAACGGACTCGAGATAAGCTAGGTAGTCAGGATCGGGTGCGGAGGGAGGATTAAGAAGCGCTTCCGTGGGTACAACAGGTGGGTCAGCAGTCTTCCAATCCTGAGTAGTGGCAAGAACGGCAGCGGTCGTCCCGTAAAACGGTCCATGATAAGGACGGGTTGGCCTATTCCCGTCTTCCGGGTCGTTCGGATCGATGGGGCGTTGGCGAATTGGATGAGATGGGTCATCGTCAAAAAAGTATGGTTGATTGGCATTTGGCATATAAGTGCCAATGCCAACGCCGGGTTCCGCAGCTTTGATTTCCAGTTCCTTAAGAACCGCATTGGCGATGCGGACACCATAAAGGTACCCAGGAGAACGTAGATTGAGATTGTGCGCCTCCTGATAGGCACGGAAGGCTGAATCGATGAAATTGCCAAGAGCGAGGGTGGCTTTGACTGAGACCTGAGGATCTTTGTTGGCCGGGTTCTTGAAGAGCTTGTTCAAGACGGTGATGGCGGCCCCAGCAACAGCATTTGCAGCCTCTGCCTTACCGCGGTTCAGGTTCTGGGGTTCAGGTCTAAGAAGTGCATCGGAAAGATAGGGTCCAATCTGTGTGAAGTGTGGGTTGTGGTTCGGATGGCTTGTGTACGGATAGACAGCAAAGTAGGCATCATGCATGGCAAGATGAAGGATACCGAGAAATCTTGCAGTAAGAGGGGGTCCACTCTGAGGGCCGGACACAGTATGGGTTAGGCGGACAAGGTCGAGGGCAACCTCATTCCAGTAGAAGACATAGTTTCCTTTGAAATTGCGAGCCCCGCCAGCCTCGACGACGGGGGGAAGGACTGGCAAGGACATTTCGGCGGTAGTGCAAGGTAGTAAAACGAGGACTGGCAACAGGAATATTGCTCTGGGAATGCTAAGGCGAGTATAAAAAATCCAACGAACCTGGTTGCTTTCACTGGGGAGGTCTGAGCAAGCCCGATTCCTTTATAGCATGTCCTCATCTTTCCTAAACGAAGACACCTTGAAAAGAGGAGTTCAGCACCTGACTCTTTTGCTCTCCAGCCTGAGCTGAAACGGACTATTCTTAGTATTCAACGAACCTCAATACGCGTAAGGCTGCGAACATGGACGAAAGACTTGCTGACAGGGGGTGCCTAAGCAACAGTCGACCAGATGCGAGCCTGATGGAAACTGATCTCGGCTTATGACCTATTAGAGGGTGTCGAAGCTCGCTGATTTTAGCGGTCGGGCGGTGCGGGGAGAGCGCCAAGACGATGCCCCTGCAAAGAAGTGGTCAAGTTCTGGCAAGCTGATGAGTCTTGGCTGTAATAGGGCTGGAACATCATTCTTCAAGTCTCAAGAATGACGGAGATAAGTGGCACAAGGCGAGACGTTCAAGCTTGGCCACGCTTGGCTCGAAAAGCACCAAGACTGCATATACTTGGCAGAGTAGGCAGACCCAGCCGGAGGCGGGATTCGTGTCGAGACTGTCCCTAAGCCGGGGTTGAAAAGCCTCGTGCAGGCCCAGCAGCGTCAATTGGTGCAGCGGAGTGTAGTCTCCCGTGCTGACGCCAATGGATCGATTAACGTTCGTGATGAGGATGTCCTGGTGATCGTCCTTCGTGTTCGCTGCATACGGGTGAGTGTGAGAGTCGAGTGAACAAAGGCTGAGGAAGGGACACGAGACAGTAGACAATTCTGGGCGACTAATGGGGCTCCCTGTCTGTATTTTGCCTTGCGTCGATTTGGCTTGTTTCTCGAAAATGCTTTATGCCTGGAACTGAAATGTGGCTTTAGCAAGGTCGAGATTCCATCGGGCAGTCGTCTGTGAGGCTACCTCCCTAGATTCAGCATGAATCGATTCACACATCGTCGAAATCATCCTCGGCCGTTCGATGGCGGACATACTTGACCTTCTTGTAAGCCGCTTGGCGCTCGACTTGAGGTCCATGGATCTGCTCGGAGCTTATCGTGATTGCTTCAGCCATGAGAGAAACCCCGTATGGCGGAAGTGCAAATCTCCAACATACCTCCCGCTGGCTGGTGCGGACATGTAGACGGCACATCTACGATGGTTAGTGGGAGCAGAGGAAAGCCCGGCCTGGTTTGGCCTTAATTCTCGTATACGACTGAGCTGAAAGTAAGCTTATGATGTATGAAAGGAAATGACATTGATCGAGATTCTGGAAGCACGGGGTTTCTTGCCTATTGGAAAGTGGCAGAATCTCCTCTGGGGGAGGGAAAGTCGAGACCGAATTCATTTTGCTGTTTCGCGTTTTGAGCCTTGGCGTACTAAAATAGGCTTAGCGCATGCCAAGATTGCACTTCGTCTGCCCAATCAGCTCATCGACTCCCGACTGTGATGCAAGCTGCAAGCCACCTCGTTTACTACCTACTGTAGGTACTGTAGGAGTCGACCGTGTATGCCACGGTCTCCCGTGTTCTACAAGCGAACGACAGCTGCTAATCAGCCTGAAATTGACTCAGATTCTTCATTGACTCAGATTCTTCATTGACTCAGATTCTTCATTGACTCAGATTCTTCATTGACTCAGATTCTTCATTGACTCAGATTCTTCATTGCCCACGTTGAGGAGCCCGGGTTCGCGCGGAAGCATGCTGGGTACAGGTCGAGGATACGCGTTGGACGCAAAGCTGAAGGCCTTTCAGCACTGCCCACGAAAGAGAATAACTAGACTCTGGTTTGAATGGGCTATCATGATGTGGAGGTGACAGGTCTCTCGTTTGCTGTGGTGGGTGTCAGACAAGAAAGACCCAATCCGTACACGCTCACGCTCACGCTCGTGCTCAATACAAGAAGCATGGCACCCCAAGCCAAAGCGACATATTCTAGATGGTGTTGTATCAAAGTGTTTAGTCCGCTCCCGGAATATTGGAAGCGTGATGCGAGTGCAACCGTGCATGTGGGCGGCTTTGAAGCAGTATCGCCTGTTGCATATATCACCCTTGCCTACTCAGCTGTTCCGAGACCATCTCTTAGGCTGGCTGCTCTGGAGAGCGAGACCAATCGTGTCACCGTCCCTTGTAGAATCTTCCTCGAACTCTTGCACGACCGTCGGCGTCCCGGGCTACAACGTCGGCACTAGGGCTGTTAGATTTGTGCATATCACCTTCGTGGACAGCCTGACCTGTTCCCGAAGCCGCATGCCACACTGTCATGATAGTCTGCCAGCCTTATCAGCGTCATGTTTGTTCGCAGCATGATAGACCGTGAGATTACGTGCACAAGCCTCGTTACACATTCGGTCGCGCCGTAGGCCGCGAGGCAGTGCTGGACCCAGTACCAGGAGCACGTCCAAAGCCAACAATCCAGTCAGCCAGTCACGCGAATCTGCTCTTTCGGTGCATTCAGCTGACCGTATTTCTTGCCTCGGTTGTTATACTCCTCCGTAAACTTGCTTGGCGCTTGCCGACCTCAACAGATCCACTTCTCTCTCTTCTTCCTTCTCTGCAACATCTCTTCTCCGCAACCCGGAGTCCGTCGGGAGGACGGTTTTTCGCGCGGGCTTAGTAGGCGGTAAGAGGGCTGCGCGTTGTACGGCAAGACAGCGCCGAGTCCAAGCATCATGAACATATACGCGCCCTTGATGAGGCCGATGAAAGTTGACCGGCAAAGGATTTCCAACACTGTTCTAAATGAAGGAACCGGGTGCCTGTTCTCCGCCACACAGAACACTGTGCCTTCCTGGCTATCTTCGAAGAAGCTCATGGTATGCCACACACTGCAAGGTCTGCGTCTGGCTTCTCCCGACCAGACATTCAACCATGCCGGCATCGGACGTTGGTAGACCTGGCGGTTCAAGAATGGGGCCAACTTTAGCCGCCACCGCAAGCTATTGAGCATGGCCACCTGCATATACGCAGCTACTCCGAGGGTCTGTCGATACCGGGCGATAATAATTCTCGGAAGTCCAATTACGTCCTATGCTGCTGGGTCGAGGAGGCGTATTCATCTCTGCAGGTATCTATTTGTTCTCGTGCACAGCCCATGTGCCTGATGTTGGTCCCAGGAGACAAGCAAGCCAAAGCTCAGCTATATAATCGAGAGCCCATCCATCGAAAATGCGTACCGCTGACATCCAACTCTCATCAAAAAGAATATCCACGTGCTGCTGATTTCTTTACTTTACTCTCGTGATCTTAGCTTGACGAGATAATGCCGTCCGTACACCTCTCTGGTCCTCCCAAAGGACACCAGCCCAGCGGTCCGTCTTCAAGACACAACAGCCCGCCAGATTCCAACACACACCTCGTGCCTGCCAAAGCACCAGTGGCGTCTGGAACAAAGCTGCCTGTACCCACGCCCTCTTCGCACCCTGGTGTATCTCAGCCAACGCATCACCCAGACGGTGTCAGTCCGAAGCCGTCGGAGCCACATACTACAGGCGGTGGACTTCCCAAGCCGACAACAGACAAAAATGCCACTGTCGAGCATCCGCCAAACTCGACTCCCACTGGCGACCACGGACCTCATGCACCAAGCTTCCAGACAGACTGCTATGTCCCGATCCCGTCTAAATTATCTCCGAGTGTTGTCGGAAAGAACGAGCCGACGGTGCCACAGCATCCCAGTGCGACGTCTGCGCCCTCGGATATACCACGGAAGCAACACCACAGTCCGACTTCTGCGCCCATCGACCACGATCCCAACACCCCGGCACCAACTCACACTGGCTCTGGAGCAAGCATTTCACCAGAACCGCGCTCTGCTGGCCCGGTTTCGCAAGCTCCTAGCTTCATCTTGCACAGCGAACCAACCCCCCGCCCCAGCGTCGCTGATCACCTCAAGGACATTGGCTGGGACATGGCGGGTAGCTTGGCCACTGGCGTCATCGGGGCTGGCATTGACATTGGGGCACACGCGGTAGAGAATCAGATAGATCAGGACTATGCGAATGCAAACGTCAATGCGAACCTGGTCCAAGGCCACTCTCAGGAGGAGGTACAAGGCCAAGGAAAAGATCAAGGTCAAGATCAAGGTCTTGACGGGGATACCACTGAAAGCGACCAAGTCATCCCACCAGTTCAGCATGCTGTACTTACACATCCCACATATTCCACGGGCGAGCAGACTAATTACGACACTACTGAACATGAACATGAAAACGGTGACTATGCCGAAGACTGGGAAGTGTACGACGACTACTACACCGAGGATGATGCTGACGGAGAACACGACTATGACCATCCGGGTTACTACCCCGACGACAACATGACCGGCTATCATCACGACCATTACGGAGACCCTGAGCATGATACACTAGGTCCCCACGCCGGGTATGGTGACCCAAGCGTCCATGCTGTTGTTGGACACGTTTTCGGGGGCGATGCGATGAATCAACCTTATTGAGGTAGAGCAACATGCGTGAGAAGATAACAAGGGAGTGAGGTAGAGCAACCATGCGTGAGAAGATACCAAAGGAGTGAACAGTAGGCGGGAACTAGTACTCCGTACCAGGCGAAGCTATCTCGCTCGACAACTTCGAATCGCGGGCATCGTTCATGGTACTCTTGATTTCTTAGGCGCCAAAAGGTGAATAGTCTAGCGATCTGACACATAAAATTAAGATGACCTTTTGTCTTCGTTGCCCTCAAGATGTGCCCATGAATATCGAGTATGAGTACGAGTACTCCGCACTCGTCCGGGATAGGTACAAGAGCAAAGGGCGCCGCCGCCGCCAAGCGTTTCACGTGCCGAACGACCACTGGAGAACTGGAGAATCCGAGCGCAGCGAGTCTTTCCCGGCACACCTGGGCACCAAGGAAAGCTAATTACTGTAGCTTGTACCCGAGTCCAGTTGTCTAACTTAAGCGAGATGCGGCTCTGGAACCAAAACTTGACTCCCGACGTCTGTCTGTGTAGTATCTGACCTTCTCAGGCCTCGTCTGTTGCGATCAAATAGGGTCCGGAAAGGGAAACGTCCAAGCACAGTACATGTGCGCATCCTCCAGGGAAGCACTGCAGTGGTACATATAGGTACGTATCCCGTGTTCTGTGCTAGACTTCAGCGTCCAAGCCAGCCATCTCTAAGCAGCGACCCGGCTTCCCAGCCGAACCAACATACAGTACAATGCAGCAAATTTCGCCCAACGTCTATGCATGGAGTACTCCTCTATTCTATTCCTCGCTTGGTCATACCCTCCGAAGCGCCGCCTTCCGAAGAAAGTCATGAAAGTCGTGTCTAACTATGTCCTTGGTCAGGAGCCGGCCCGAGATCCATCGTGTCACCGGGTGCTCTGCTCAGTGCGTCAACGCTCAACGTGGCAATTCCTCGCCATTGTCACTGCTGTCCTTGTCCTTTCTCCAGAAGAACCATCCGACGGCGATGGCAAACTTCAGTCCCGAAGCGAGCCATAGCGCTCCTCCCATGCCTGCAGTCGACTTGTACATTTCGCCGCCGACGATGCCGCCGGTGAATAGGGCGATAATACACGCGACGCGCTTCTCCTGACGTTTCTCGTGCACGGCCAAGAACTCCCACACGCTGGAGCTCTTCTGCCAGGAGTCTCGTAGTCTATACAAGTCCGCACTGAAGTCGTGGTATAGCGCGCTGAGGACGATGGTGGGTAATTCAATGACCCCGAGGAGTCGAGACAGCGCGACTTGTCCGGCGGCTTGGAAGGAAATCAGCGCGATGGGACACAGGTCGAGGAAGTTGACCATCGACGAGGATACCTTGTCGCTCCCGGAGGAGAAGGTGCCGGGCGCGAAGGGCAGGTTGGAGACCTCGTGCGTCGTGATCAGACTTGTGGCGATGACCATCAAGCACGTCTGCACCAGGAAAGAGATGATGAGATTGAGCCGTCGGAGGGATAAAGGCGGGTTATGCAAGCCCGTGGGATACCGGTGAAGAGCGCTGAAGAAGAGCGATCCGAGGCAGAAGGCGCCGATCGAGGTCAACGACTTGTAGTACTGTTGCTTGTGACTGGCTTGCGGCTGTCCACCGATACCAAGCGCAGCGAAGACGGTGTTTCCTGTGCAGAGTGTCAGCGGGGATGTGCTGTGCTGGTGAGAGATATGTGAGTCGAGAGTAAGTGAGAGTGAGGGTGTACCTGTTTGCATGTTGACGAAGCAGTTCCAGCTGTTGAAAGCGACGCTGTCGACGAGACCCGAGATGAAGAAGAGAGTGACGAGCACGACGGTCATGTAGGAGGAATCGAGTTCATGGTAGAGGAATCTCTGGGACACCTCTGCCGTCCTCGTCAATTTCTCCATTTGGCCCATTGGGTTTCGCTTTGCGCATTCCTTGCTCGAGTTTCTTGACGTTCGAGCTTCGAAAGTGGAGGTGGTTGTGGACGAGAACGAGGAGGGGTTGTTGGTGAGAGTAAGTAAAGAGTCACTCCGAGGGACTCTGGCCTCGCCAGCTTCGACGGGGCGTAGAGGTTCTCGCATGATGCTGTTCGCCTCGCGTAAGTGAAGAATGCCAAGAGCACAACGTATTCAGTGGTGGGTTACGTGGATGATGAATCTCACAGAATGCTAATGCTCGGGTAGGTGAAGATGGCCTGAACGACATGGGGGTTGCGATTGTTATACCAGTTGCACGCATCCAGGTATCCTACCCTCTTCGACCTCCAGTGATGTACGCGCCATGGTATTCTTGATATGAGTGCCGGCTGGGATGATGTGGACCTGATCCACCTTGTGTCTACAGAATCCACATTGTGGTTACACATTTCACCTCGAGTCAAAACAGCATGTGAGAAGTTTGGCTGGCTGGGTAAGTGAAGGTCTCCTCGTCCGAGACAGCAAGGCTACGCCGCTCGCCGGCTGTCGCGGCCGGGATCTGCAGGAGGGCAAATGATCGGAGACTAAGCGGCTGGACGGCATGCACGGAAGTTCCGCCATCTGCGATGCGTCGGTTTGAGGGCTGCTTCCTGAAGTGGAGATTGAGACGCGCAGATGGGCGAAGAGATCCTGTCTGCTCGTTGAAAACACCATCAGCTCGGCGGCTTAGAGACCTTGGGGGTGGCTTACAGCTGTACGGGAGATGACGTGGATTGCGCGCAATTCCGGAATCTTGCCTTGAACAAGTGATGGACAAAGGGCTGGGCACGGAGAGCCGAGGCGGCAAGAGAGGGGACTCTGATCTTAACTTCTGATACTGTCAAAAGGCTGGCAGCTGCGATAACAAGAGATGGGAAAATGAAACACAGGAAAGACTCCAGTGCTTCAGCCTTGTATCCAATTGAGATCTGACCAGATTCCGACCAATCCACTCCCGTGCTTGCCAAGCGAGGCTGTGGAACGCTTTCCCGTTCTCGATGTTGAACAAAAGGCTCACGATTGATAAGAAGGACTCTTGTCTCAATTGGGCCTCCGACACGGCGGGAGAGTCAGGGAGAGTTCAAAGCTACGGGCGACCAGCATTCTTGGCCACGGCTGTCAACATCCTTGGCGCGGACACCCATCTTCTTGGGTTCGGATTACACCCAGTCACGCATAGTTCACGTGTAACCGAACTGCAAAACTGTATCAGCACATTCAAGAAACCCATCCTCGATCACCGATATCTCGGGCACTTTAAGTTCTACACTTGAAACTGAAGTATGCTGTCTTGTTGACATGCTTTATCTGTCCAGATGCCACTGACTGACTTGGGGATGAAGCCAACACCATTGTCTGCGGCGCGCTGATACAACGTACTCCTGAGATCGCACCTGCTTTCAACCGTAGCTTCTCTCCTCACACGTTGTGCATACTCATGCTTGATTGGAGCGGATCGACGACATTTTAGGTCTTGACATCTGGATCCGTTCTGCCAATGAATTTCTGAAGCTGCAGGAGTTCGATGGCAAGCCCGACGGGCTCTTTGAGATACGCCTGCGTATCCTCGCCGAGCTTGCTCTTGTCCTCCTCGAGCTTCTCAACGTACAGCCGGATGGTCGCACCACTGCTGCCCGTACCCGATAGTCGAACAACGATTCTCGTCCCATCGTCAAATATGAAGTAGATGCCCTGGTTCTTCGACACCGAGCCGTCCAGATCAGTGTATGAGAAATCGTCTGCTTCCACAATCTTGTGGCCCTGGATGGCTGAGCCGACAGTGTCGGACTTCGAGATCTTCTCTTTCAGGTACTTGACCATATCGTTGGCACCATCACCGCTGACGTTCTCGTAGTCGTAGCGAGTGAAGTAGACACGGCCGTATTCGTCCCAGAACTGTTTCTGGATCTCGGCAATGGAGGGGAACTTGCCCGTCTCTTTGCCCACACCGGCAATGATGTTGAGCCAAGCAGTAATGGCCCACAGACCATCTTTCTCTCGGATGTGGTTCGATCCTGTGCCAAAGGATTCCTCGCCGCAGATCGACATCTTGTTGGTGTCGAAAAGCGAACAGAAGAATTTCCACCCAGTGGGCACAACATAGAGGCTCAAGTTTTGCTTCTTGGCCACTAGGTCAAGTGCTGCTGACGTGGGGAAAGATCTTGCCAGCCCGTAAACACCCTGTTTCTGGAAGTATGGGATGTACTTCTTGGCATAATGAGCAATGATGGCCAAGGAGTCGCCAGGTGAAACAAAAGCATTCTTGCCGTAAATCATGTTCCTGTCGCCATCACCATCGGAAGCGGCACCGAAGTGAATACCTTCCTTGTCAACTCGTTCCACCAAGGAATGAGCATAGGTAAGGTTAGGATCAGGATGACCGCCGTTGAAATCAGGGCTTGGCTGGCAATTCTGCGTGCTTTCCGGCCCCAGACCGAGCTCTCCTTGGAAGATAGCCACGCCATAGGGACCAGTGACACCAGACAGACCATCAAAGAGAACTTTGAAGTCGGGCTGCGATTTGAAGAACGATCGGATGAGGTCGAAGTCGAAAATATCCTTCAGCATGTTCAGATAGTCTGCGACCGAATCGACCACCTCGACCTCCAAGTCCCCATACTTCTGAGTGCCAATCTCATTGATGTTCACATCCGGAATGTCTGCAATCTTGTAGGAGGTAAGAGTCTTGGACTTCTCAAAGATTTTGTTTGTCACAGACTCTGGCGCAGGGGCACCGTTGGAGAGGTTGTATTTCATGCCGAAGTCGGCATTGGGGCCTGATTGACAGTCAGATATTGTTCTCATTGTCTCTTATCAAGTGCTAACTTACCACCTGGGTTATGGCTCGCAGTGAGAAGAATACCACCAGTGGCCTTGCGGATGCGAATGACATGGCTGGCTGCAGGGGTACTGAGGATGCCATTCTGACCGATCAGGAGCTTTTTCACGCCGTATGCAGCACCGATCTTTGCTATGAGCTGGACCACTTCGGGATTCCAGTATCTGCCGTCACCACCAATGACAAGAAAAGCTCCTTCTGCACCTTCAGGGATCGAGAGGAGGATGGAAGTGATGAAGGACTCGCTGTAGTGGGGTTGCTTGAAGACGGTGACCTTCTTGCGAAGTCCCGATGTGCCAGGCCTGTAGATACACAGTCAGTGTATGACCATCGGTAACAGCGAGGTGCAAAGCTCACTTCTGGTCGGCAAAAGATTTGAACTCAACCTCCTTCACGTTCACCATGGTGACAATGTTATGAGGCTCGTTGGAGGAAGTGCTGAATGAGTGAGTGTTCCAATGGGTGTCTAGGAGAGAATGAAGATGAAGAACCTGAGACACAATACTCGTAATGTGTAGCAAGGAAGCAAACAGGTTCGCTTGCGAAAAGATTTTATTCTGTTGACGACGATCCCCTCATTGACTTCAGCAAGCACTGGACAGACGCTGTGCTGTGGTGTGCCCCGCGACTGCACGTTGAGAGCCCCAATACGTCATTGGAGCTCTCGGAACCAGAGGCTCAATTTCTCCGAAGCCATCAAGCTACCGTGCACACAGCCACTGGTAGCAAAGCGAGGCGGCCCTGCGTATTTTAGCGACATCACCATCCTGTCAAATTCGCTTTGTCTTCCATCTGCAATGTGAGCAGTCAGGATAGCTTGGCAAGCATAAATTGATTTAATCGAGTTTTCCGGCGGCCGAGGGCTCCAAAGAGTCATGGCCGCGTACAATTGCCATGACGTCTATTGGTGAAGTCATGTCCAGATTCGAACGACATCAAGAACAATGCAAGCCTAGAGGAGAGTCAACATTTGAAGGTCGCTCGGGAAGCTCTTTTCATCCCTCGAGACACGGTGGGCAAGTATTTCGCACAGATCATACTGCAGACCGGAAAGATACAGATAATTCTTGATCGTTGTGTCATACACAAGGCGTACCGTAATCTCCCCACCGAGGTGTCCTCCGCTCCAACAATCTTGTTAGGTAGTGCAAGGGAAATTTCTGAATGGAACTTACCTTTCAAGCCTTTCAGCCACCAAATGCCGGTCATCTGAAGGCCCCGCCATGCGTTCGGGGTCATAGCCATAGTGATGCTCACTGAAAACAACATTGATAATGACGGTTCCACTGGAGCGGGCGCGATGCGATCCTCCCGCGAGGCTAAGGCAAACTGTAAAGCATCAAGGAGATCATTTTCACTTGGTGGGCAAAAGAAGTGCAAGCCTGTTGAACAGTCTCATAGCCCAGGACGATGGTGCGGAGGAGGCCGGCGCAAATACAGGCATTTGCCTCATACATTTGTGAATCTGAAATACGCCTTGCAACCTACTTGGTAGGTGCTTCACCCATGCTTGCTTTGTTGCTGTGCCTCGAATGGAATGACCTCGAGAATGACTCAGCATTGACGAGGCTGAGCTAGTCGAATCTGGGACTGGTGTGCTGCCTCGTCTCGTTCGTCCTCGAAGAAGTACAGCGAGACTAAACTCCAGACTAGACTCAGAGTGAGTTGACATCAGCCGAATCACCCCTGCAACGACACCGTCGCTGGATTCGCCCGTCTCATAGGATAGACATCGCTGTCCTCTCTCTGCAATCACACTGTCGTTCTTTAGCCTACTCCTCTTTGACGCGCGCGTCAATTTACCGACGCCTCACCGTTCCTTCCCGAGTTGCGCAGTAGGCAAAGCTCGGTTGCCCCGGTCCTCTGCGCAAAATCCAAGGGCTGCCCAGGCAGACCTTCCGAGTTCCCCGCTGGATGCGTGTCTCTGGGCGAGAAGAAGTTGGGTTCGATAACGGTGAAGAACGACCTGCTGCAGCTCTATCAGTGTGGGACTTTTCTTCTCCGCCATCTCTGCGTGAGAGTGCGGAGAATTTGACAGTGTCCTGAAGGCGTTGCCAGACCTTCTGTCGCCATCATGCCCTGCTTCAAAGGCCTGGCTGTGAGCATTCACACGCCGACAGGGCCCTTGCCAGAATACTCGGTTCAGCGGGCATCTCGCCTCTCGAGAATCAGTGCCTATATACCCGTTCCCCCTGCAAAGATCCCTACCGACTCTCCCACCGCCAAACCCGAACAATCGACCTTCGCAATCTCTATCACCCTCCTTACTCCTAATCAAGAAGTGCCGTACTCGACTCCGAAAGCCACCAAGGAAAATCCTAATCCAAAACCCAGACTTGTCGCTGGTCTTCCCGGCCACACAAGCGAGCGAGGAAAATACGCAGGCTCCGTCGGTCCCTATGTTCCGTTGACAACATCACCGAATGAAACCATCGCAGCCTACATCTACTTCGATGGTCGAGCCAAGGAGGAAGTCGCAACACTACTGAGGAAGGGCGAGGAGACCTGGGTCAACTCTCGATGGGTCAGCGTTCCCGAAAAAGAAGGCGGCGGCTTGGCGGAGCGAGAGTTCTTGTTCCGGGAAGTTGGTCTGGAACGATGGCTGAACGGTCTGGATTTGGACGGAAAAGATGCTGCCGCGACCATTGAGAGACGAAGACAGAAGCTGGAAAAGAGACGGAGAAAGCGAAAGGAGGTTGCCGGGAGTGATGATGAAACGAATGGTATCTCAAAGAAAGAGCGGCGGAAGAACACCATGCGCTATGGTGAGGATGGCGAATTAAAAGACGTATCAGACGATGAAGGTTCATCAAGCGACACTGGCTCATCCGAAGACGACGACGATCCGATCCCAGAAACAGCTGGCCAAATCAAAGTCGCATTGTTCCGGGTGTTGGCTTCTGGAGAAATCAAGCGTGGGGAATACTCACCTCAGTTCGATGCTCATGACGATTCAGAAGGGGAGGATACTGGAGAAGGCAACGCAAACGGGAAAGCAGATGTCGACCATACCACCAGTTTTGCTAAGCCAAAGACGTTGGATCCCAAGACCATCTCAACGCAAACAGTCACCGGCATCGACCCTACCGACAAACCATATGCTGTCTTTACATTCCTGTATCGAGGAGAACGGCAACTGCAAAAGATGGGCATTCTCCCTGGGGCGAAAGCCGACAAAGCCGCTGCCAGTGCGAAGAGACGCAGTCTAGCCGCGGATTTGCCCAAGCTGGGACCCCTCAAGAAAGAAGGTACCGCAGGCTTCTCAACGTTCCGTGACTCCGAGGGGAGACGCAAATCGAAAGGCAAAGGTGCCAGCGATGATGATATGGAGAGTGAAAGCGATGACGATGGTGGAGCTAACATCATCGGAAAGATGGAGGACATCAACGATGCGGATGCACAGAATGATCCCGGCTTGCTTTCCCCCGAAGATGCCGAACGGACTGGTAAAGTGGCAGAAGGCATCCGCAAAATGAAGGTAAGAGATCCCTCGCCGTTGAAGTTCCGGCATGGGCTAAGGTATCATCAGCTCAAGCGACAGCACTCGGCCGAGCCCCTCAATAGCAATGGCGTGACCGAACCGCGTAAAAACTCCAAGTCCGGTAGTCCTTCAGCCGCCTCGACACCCAAAGTTGCCCCTGATGAGCTTGGGACGTCTCCAGGCGGCATGGCCATCGGGTCAGGTGGCTTGAGCACAAGTCTCGAAGCCACAAAGGAAGACGATAGCTTCATGGTTGGTAGCCCAATGAAGCGACAACGCGCAAGTGTTGCAGAGTTCGATGTCGACATTAAAACCCGGTTGGGCAGCGGCCTCTCAACATCTTCGGGCACGATCGGCGAGGTTTTGGGATCGTCTGGAACAGTTCAGCCCAACAACGCCACCAATTCAAATCCTTCTGGTCTTCAGTTTGGTGGGGCTTTGGTCAAAGAACCTAAGGCTGACGACGATGAGGAGTTGTGAGAGACCCACAGCGACCTGCATCCCTCGAAGCGGATAGCCATGTCTATGCCACGACATAACGCAGGGCCTGTCTGCTCTTGCAAATTCGACGATTGACCGTGTGTCCTCGAATGCTTTTGCAATACCAGCGACGCGGGAAATACAGCAATTGAGGCGTTTGCGCCCGCACATTGGAAATCCATGCTTGTTCAGTGTTCCACGGACCCTACAGCAGAGTCACCACGGCACAGCGGCTACAAGAAGGCAGTGCGAGTCTGGCTGGATGGCTAATTTTGTTTAATCGTGCACAAGCAACAAGCTCGAATCGGCATTCGCACATGAGAAGGGGCGTTCGTATCATATGCGCCAAACAGCGGCCGGGGTTGGTCAGGGAAGCGTCGGTGCATTTAGCATGGAAGGCCGTGCATGGTATTCTCTCAGATCTCGGAGATCCAGAATGCTAGGGGATGGAACAGAACGGCGCGTGGTGTGTGTGTGTTTACTGACTCCACGGTTACTTTCGATGGTCCTTGCACCACCACCACACCTCCACCACCACCACAGCCGCACGTCGTTTCACATGTTCCACCGAAGAACAAATGCATACAGACATGTTTGATATTCTCGAGCTGCCAGCGGCAAGCTGAGCAAGACGTGTAGCCAAAATGACCATTTGAAAGAATGCCCTTGGCTTCTGTCTCTGATTCTACCTCGGTCGCATCGCAGTGACTACAGTCTGGGAGCAGCAGGATTTTGGACCTTGTAACTTTGGGAGCAACTCGTCTGATATCGGGTCTTTGACAATGCCTCGCTCCCGCGACTCCTACCTCATTCCAGCATCATCTGATTGGCAGGAAAACAACGTCACCCCTCATCCGAAAGCCGATCGAGGAGCCAGTGACCACAATATCGTCATCGGGTCTTTTCGGTTTTTCGGTCTTCCCACCAATCCACCGCAAAGGAGGCCTGTCAGTCCTTAATGGGATCTGCACCGCCGGACTGTCAAAGGCAGTGCGAATAGTCGTAGGTCGTCCTGGTCGTCATCGCTGCTTACCGCGCTTCGCTCTCATCCACCTCCGCCTCCTTAAATCCGTGGTTGGTTGATCTTGTTCTTCGCGGTTCACGACCGACATAGTCAATAAGCAGCTCCATTTCTGTTCAGAAAGGTGCATCGAGGGGCAATTCGACGCGGTTGCACTCCTTGCGAAGATCGTAGCACGGCCCATGCGGCTGGCTCCCTCGTCTGTCTATCAACCGCTCATCAGTCCAGGCTGAGAGCGGATCTGAAAATATTCCGGCCTTCTCAAAATTAAGCCAAGAAGAGCACGCACACCTCAACCAAGGGACGAGCGTCATGGCACTCACCAGATCGACCGACCCTCTGGTCTGGGTTGACTGCGAGGTAGGTCGAAGCACAAACGCCCGAGAGCGCTTCCTGCCCACCACCATTTGTATGATAGGAGCGCCTTTCCGGACAAGGCAGACTCAGATACTTGCAAGATGCCAAGAGAGCTCTAAGCTACATCTCACACTCTACCTACCACAAACTCACTTTCACTTCACTTTCACTTCACTTTCACCTCATTCTCACCTCCCTTTCATGTCCTGTCGCAACCCGAAACTCGCACGTGCCTCACCCTCCCCGATTTGGCTTTTTCCTCTGACGATGGAGAAACTGACGATCAAATTCAGATGACAGGTCTCAACCCGTCCAAGGACACAATTCTATCCATCTCGTGTATTCTAACCACCTCCGACCTGTTCCCGCTGGACCCGGAAGGTTTCAACGCCGTCATATACCACACGCCGGAGGAACTGGCGCAGATGTCTGAGTGGTGCATCAAGACGCACGGCGACTCGGGACTCACACAAGAATGCCTCTCGTCGTCAATCACGGCGAATGTCGCATCCACAAAGCTCCTCAGCTACATCAAGCACTACATCCCCGAACCGCGCCGTGCACTACTTGCGGGGAACAGTATCCACGCGGACCGAGCCTTTCTGATGGTGCCACCCTGGGACATCATCCTAGAGCATCTTCATTACCGCCTGTTCGACGTTTCAGCAATGAAGGAGATGGTGAGACGTTGGGCCAGCGACCAGGTGTTGATGGCAGCTCCGAGGAAAGAACTCCGCCATACCGCCCGAGAGGATGTCCTGGAAAGCATCCAGGAGGCCCAGTTCTACAAAGCCTTGATTGAGCGCATGGCTCCGGTCCCATTCGGGCTGTCCGCTGCAGCGGCGGGTGATGGTGATGGCGCGGACGCTAATGGGAGGACGATCGTGCCACCACCATCTGCAGCGTCGATGCCCAGCTGTTCTCCCCAACCGATGATGTTGGGAGGATTAGGAACAAAGCATGGGCAAGGTCAAGGTCAACAAGAAGCACCCGGTACGCTGCGGCGGAATAATGGTACGAGAACGGGGGATGTGGGAACACTTGATCCGGGATTCCGTACCGATATACCATGACCCTAAGGTGGTTCGGATCCCTTCATTGCATGCCGGCCAGCCATTACGAGCCATTTCTGCCCGGCCTCGGTGTCAGGAAACGGCTGAATGAACTTAGCCTTGATCCCACGTCCAAGCTTACAAGCTCGAGAGGCGGAAAAATTACATGTCTTTCGCAAACCTATTGCGTGACAGCTACAGGAACATGCACAGAAATTTAAATTGGATACTGCACAGAACCGTCTGCGTTTATTTTGGGAGATCTGAGAATGCGCTCTCTATACGTAGTAAGCATCAAGAAAAAGGCAGGATATGTAACCACCATAACGTTGGTGAGCTCAATGCGAAATCGAAGGCATAAAGAATCATCAGAAGCATCCTTCGCCTGTTTGTTTCGGACTAGAAGTGGAATCATCAGCCTCCCCAGCCTCACGAATGCAAAACATGGCTCCGGGTCCGCGAGAGCAAAATGACCAAACGGTCATACAGTAATGAGATCTGTGGTTCAGCGCCGCGAACAATCGCAGCCAAAACATCTCTTCAAGAACCCTCATCGCTGACGTCTACAGAGAGAGGTAAATCAAATTGACTGCTTCCTCTTTGTTTCATATTTCCCCAGGGCGTCGTTGTCGATAGCTCATTAGCTAGCTAGCTAGATCTGCACTTGATCCTGCCCCAGGTGAGGTTGCGCCACTCGTGGATCCACCGCCGCGGACGCCTTAGTGCCCCTGTTGAAGTAATAGACACGCCCAGGGACAGTGTCGGTGGTGTAGCGACTCCATCCGTCGGTTAACGGGCCCGGCCTCATCTGCGGCGGCACAAACTGCCATGAGTAAGGACCATTCTTCGACAGTCGGGATGGTGGCTGATCTGCGCAGACGAACCTGCATGGTTCTGAGCTCGTGGGGAGAAGGCTATTCAATTCTCTGCCAAGGTATGGCAAAGCGTGTCCTTACCACGTCGATGACCAGGATTCTAAATTTTTCCTGCCGCATCAGGGCTGGGTCTTCCGGCCTGTTGCAGTCGGTGGTGGTATAATATTGCCCGTTGGTGATGGAGAGGGAGGTCTCGTTCCCACCATCGCGGTTCTTGGATCTTCTCTAAAAACCTATCGCCCCCCTTGTGGCTGTGGCTGTGATTGTGAATGCGCCTGAGCCTCTGCCCGGGCAAGCCGATACCGCACTGCTTCCTTGACAGTCTCACCACTCCAGACCTCTTGACCAGCGAACTCCATTCCCGCGACATCGCCTTTTTCAACTTCTCCGAGCAAGACGCTGAGATCGCGCTTTTGCGAGCTGAGCCACCGCTCCACAAATTTCTGCGGATCTTTCGCCATGGACGTGAAGAATTGATGACGCGCCTTGTGGTGGTTGAGGCTTTGCATTAGGACCGCGAGATCGTCGTCCAACTTGCGCAGTTGTTGCAGCGTTGCGGCGTGTTCGGGGTTCTGCGTCATGCGGAAGAAAAGGGGCCGCAAGGGGTCTTCGGTCGTGACACGCACGTCGTAGACTGTTGGCTCCGGAGTGCCAGACTGGTGGAACGCTTGGTCAACGCGGATCGTATATGGAAGACGAACAGGCGGAAGAGGGTGTAAATGGGGGATCAGCCGCTCGGCGGCTTGCGGGAAGAAGAATGTTTCAGTGTCGAAGATTCGTTTCAAGGAATCGTCGCATTGAATGGAGCGGCGCTCTTCGTCTTCTTGGAGGCCCATGGCGCGGACATAGTCCCAGATGCCCATGACGACCTCTGCGCGGTCGGCTTCTTCCATGTCCAACGTCTCGGCTAATGCTTTTGACAAGCGGAACCGTTCAGGTTGCTCATCCCTCGTCAGACAGATTGCAATGTTGACGTTCTCATCTGCCTTGCGCTCGAATTCAATGCTGTCAAAATCGCCGGATTGGTTAGGGCTCGCACCCTTTTTCCAGGTCACGGTCTGGTTCGGATCTCCGGCTATATTGCTGGTGTTCTTTGGGTTGTCAAATTCGACAGTCATGCCTTTGAAGAAATGGGTAAACTTTTTTGAGGGAGATTTGAGTTTGCGGCGTTTGTTCGGTTGTTGGTCTTCGTTGTCGCCCATTTCTTGATCCTCTTGCCCTTCGTCTTCAGAGTCGCTGTGCAGGATGTCGTCGTCGTCGTACTCGAGAAGGCGGCCTTGGATTTTCACGCGGTAGGTGGGATCGCCGCCTGACTCGAATGTAAAGGCGTCTTCATCGGAGGTTGTCTGCCACGGCTGGCCTGACACGGTGTTGGATATCCAGATGCGCATGGTCTTCTGCCTCTTCACATTCTTACTGAAATTGTCGTGGATTTCCAATCTCTTGCGCGCCATGAGATGGTCCAGGCGTTTCTCTGCTTCGCGGAGTTTCTTGTATTGGTCCACGCCGTCGCCAATGACAATATCTTCCAGTCCATCGGGGAGGTTTCGATCGGTGGGCTTTCGCGTGCGTCGTTGGGCAAGTTGATGCTCGATTGCGGCGTTGCGCTGCTGGGCTTGCTGTTGCATCATTTGTGCTTGAGCTTGCTGGGCGGCATGCTGGGCGGCGTGCTGGGCTGGCGGGATTTGGCCTAGTGAGTGATCTTGTAAGTAGCCGGTCTCACGATGATGGCGGAGACAAATGGTTGCAGCAGGACTTGTTCCAGACTCCACGCGACGACGATCACGAATGTTGGGTCGCACTCACCTGGGCGACGTGCCGCTGCGGGAGATCTCCCCTGCGCCTGGGCGGCAAATTGCCGGTAATTTTGCATCTGCGGATTCATCATACCGTTTGCCTTCGACGTGGGTATGCAGAGATCTGCGGAAGGTGTGTGGTGAACGAACGACGATGTTTAGTGGTTAAGCACAGAAGATCGCGACAAGCAAGAAGTCACGAACGCGATTTAGATAAGGCTGAGCTAGTCTCCTTTGGGGCTCCATTGCCAAGAAATTCATTAAGCAAGGCTGTCCTCTCCTCGACATTTCCTCGTCCGCTCAACTGACTCGACTGTTCAAAACTGCCCCATCGACATCTGGATATGATACTTTCAAGATAGCTTACGGAATCGCTTTGCTGGCCCAAGCAACGTGGCGAAAGTACGGGTATTTGCCTGGTGGATGTCAATCAGCCCCGCCTGTGATTGTGCAGCGCGAGGCGAAAATGGGCAAGCCCCGCCTGATCATCATTATCCGTCATGCGCAGTCAGAGGGCAACAGAGATAAGACAATCCACCAGAAGACCCCGGACCACAAGGTTGGCCTGACTGAGGAAGGACATCGACAAGCTCTAGAAGCCGGCGAGAAGCTGCGTGCTCTTTTGCGAACCGACGATACACTACATTTCTTCATATCACCGTACAGGAGGACCAGAGAGACCACTGAAGGCATATTGAACGGCTTGTGCGCTAACGATCCTGTCCCGTCACCTTTTCAGCGATCACACATCAAAGTGTACGAGGAGCCGAGACTGAGAGAGCAGGACTTCGGCAACTTCCAGCCGGGTACGGAAGAGACAGAAAGACTTTGGCGGGAGCGCGCAGAATATGGCCACTTCTTCTACCGCATACCCAACGGCGAAAGTGGAGCCGACGTCTACGACCGAGTGTCGTCCTTTAACGGCTCGCTCTGGCGACGATTCTCCGAAGATAGCATGGCCAGCGTCGCCATCCTTGTCACCCACGGTCTATGCAGTCGAGTGTTCTTGATGGCGTGGTATCACTACAGTGTCGAATTCTTCGAAGACTTGCGAAACATCAACCACTGTGAGTTTCTGGTCATGAAACATGGCCCCAGTGGACGATACGTACTTCAGAACCAACTACGGCGATGGTCTGATCTCAGGAGGGAGCGTGCTGCTGCTAGGAAAAACAGTCTTTCTGCACCCCCTGAATCGATTCCAACAATCCCGGTGAGGCGGTGGACACAATCGAAGAGTGCGCATGATCCCACTGGGGCTAGTTTCATCCCCCGGCCGACCAGGAAGAATACGGCAGACATGTTCCGAGACGAGCCAGAAATGACAGAAGAAGGTGGGGACGACAAACGGACTCCGAATGCGTCACCGACACAGAGGCGAAGGAGTCGGGGGCTGAGCGCCACGAGAGAAAGAAGTCGCACCAGGGTTCGGTCCTCCAGCAATCTCCGAAACTCGTTCAGCAACCTATCGGTGGATACTGGGAGGAAGGGCTCGAACCTGGTCGGCGTGAAGTCTTATTTGGGCAGAGATGGAGGCGGAACAAGATCGGGCCAAGGCTCGCCGTTTGGCTCGGATGACGAGCTAGAGGTCGAAAGCCCCAGAGGAACTTCTCAGACCGCGGCCATGCAGGCACTCTCAAGTTCACCGGAGACGATCAAGAAATCGTTCTCAGGCTCGCTTGCTCGAGCTTTGAGGGGCGAGTTGGACGATCCTAACAGGAAATTGGCCGACGCGCTGGGCGATCAAAGTGATGCAGAGGTCGATGAGGCTGATCTAGAAATTGGGACTAAGGAGCGGGTCACTGGCGAGATGGAACAGATCCTGGAAGACGAACGACGTGAAAGGAGCCAAGCAGGGAGCGCCTACACTCTTAAATAGTTCGGTCGAGATGCTCGATATTGATGCAATACACTGCGTATCACAGTACGCATTATTGTTAACCTCCCGATCCATATGACCATAGGTACGGAGTACAACCATACCAAAGGGATCCTCAGCCTCGTAGCGACAGCCTTGTGCCAAGACATCCGCCCGTGATTAGAGATCAGCCAATAAAATCACTTCCTTCTTCCATCCCATACACAGCAAGACAATTCACTATTAAAACACCCAGATGCAATAGCCTTGCCAGCACTCAAAGACGGGTGGCCAGGGCTCCATTCAGGCATCTGGACCAATTCGTCAGAATGGCGGACCCTCTGTACGAGCTCCTTCAACCATACCTACAGTCCTCTTCTCAACAGTCATCATCACCATCCTCCTCGTCTTCCTACAGCCCCGAAATCTCCCAGTATCTCTCCCGCCTGGTCTCGCTGCGTCTGAGCGATCTGACGACCACGGAGCCGCAATCCCTCGCTCAAGCCCAACATTCAAACCTGGTCTCACTCCAGGCACTCTCATCCCGCTCATACCGCACGACCACCATCTCATCAGACCACCTCAGCACGCTCCAGACATCACTGCCCCAAATCTCGGCAGCCGTCGAGTCTATCAGAAAGAGCATCCCGGTTCTAGACGCCAGTGCCGTCACATTCGCTTCATCGTACGGCCGCTCCAAAGACGAGATCACAGGAGAGAGTCAAGGAACCGCGCTCCTCGCCGCGCGACGAAATGCGTCTCTTCTCGCCCGCCAAGCCGACAAGGCACAAGACATTCTTGAACTGCCCTCGCTGCTACGGGCTTCAATCGCCTCTGCGGGCACCGCTGCGTCCGCTTCCACTTCCACCAGCTCTACTTCCTCCGCGAACTACACGCAAGCGCTGGACCTCTTCGCGCACATCAAGCGTCTGCAGATTCTGTATCCGGATTCCCAGCTCCTCAGGGCCGTGCTCGTCGACGCCGAGATCGCCATGAAGGACATGACGACGAACCTGATCGCCAGTCTGAGGGGGCCGAACCTTCGCCTCGCACCAGCGATCAGGATGATCGGCTGGTTGCGCCGAGTTGCGCCGGAGTTATCCACGGCGGGCACGGGCACGGGCACAGGCACAGGCACTGGTCCGACTGGAGCTACCGCTAATACACTCCACACACCCACTACATTGATGTCCTCGCAAATGGGATCACTTTCCACGACGACACCTGCGCAGGATGAAGGCCATTTCGGCGCTCTCTTCCTCGTCGCCAGATTATGCACCTTCCTCAGCATGACCGAAGCGCTCGCGCCACTTCGCGATCTCGCCGACCAAGAAACCCAGGCTCGTAAGGAGGGTAACGCGCAAAAAATTGGCAACCGCAACCCAGAAGCGTCGACACGTCCCCATCCCTCGCGTAAGCCCAGCGGCGGAGGAGGGTATAATCCCCAAGTCGCCGGGCAGCAAACCGAACGCTACTTGAAACGCTACATCGAGATCTTCCGCGAGCAGTCCTTCGCCACGATTTCCATGTACCGCAACATCTTCCCCGTCGAGGGGACAGCACCGCCCAGCAGTGACACGCCATCATCATCCTCATCCTCATCACCATCGCCTCCGTCGCTAGAGCTGGATCTCGCGTTGCCGCCGGCGCTGCAGACCTTCCCACTCCACCTGGTGGAGATTTTTATGGCTACGCTCAAGCAGTACTTACCCAACGTGACGGACGCGACGGCACGGGAGAGCTTGCTCATGCAAGTCCTGTATGCGGCCAATAGTCTAGGACGGCTGGGTGCGGATTTCAGTTTACTGATCGCGGAACTATACGAGGAAGATGAGGATGAGAGCCACGAAGACGTGCCGTCGCCGCTGTCGGTACAAGAGGGAGATATTGCGGAAGCCACGACCGAGGAAGGCGCCGCTGACAATTCAAACGGAGCTGTTGGACGTGGAGAACTGTCACACGAAGGTCAAGGAGAGCGCGGGCCCAGACCAAAGCCTGAGCACGAGCCCGAATGGATCACCGTGATCAAGAAACACCGTGTCCAAGCAGCGAGGCTAGAGGCCCTAGCAGCCGGGCAGGAAAGAGTGGCGCACAGACAAGGCTCGGTGGATGTTGCCGTTCGATAGCCTCGCACTCTAAATATACATTAGCGGTCTATCAGAACGGGCTTTCGCTTTTCATTTTGGGACTCTTGAACAGCCGCCCTCCCTTCCAGACGTGCGTGATGTTCTCTGGCTCCTTGAACAGATCCATATTCTGCAAGGGATTCTCCTTCAGCGCAATCATGTCGGCATCATATCCCACCTCGATGACGCCACTCTTCGGCTTCATGCCCAGATCGCCCAGCGTTTCGGGCCCCATGGCCGTCGCGGCCTCGATAGCCTGCAGAGGCGTCATTCCCCCATCACTTACCGCGTAGGACAGTTCTCCCCCACTCTGTCCATGTGCCAGCGGATGATCCGTCGGGGCGCTGATGCCCAAGTCCGTGCCTAGCGCGATCTTGACCCCCGAACGCACAGCCAGTCGGTACGCCTCTTTATGATGGCGCGCCGTGATGAGCATCTTGCGATACGACTCCGGAGACATCAACTCCGGGTGGTCGACACCGACCTTCACGATGGTGCGGGTGGGGACATACACGATTCCACGCTGCTTCGTCTCCTCGATGCACTCCTCGTCCATGTATGTGCCGTGTTCGATCGTGTGCACGCCGGCCATCACCGCCGCCATAATGCCTGCTTTCCCATGGACATGCGCGGCCACGACACGCCCGTTGCGCTCCGCCTCCGCGACAATGGTCTGCAGCTCGGCCAAGGAGAACTGCTGCCTCAGCGGGTCGTCCGCGATGCTGAGCACCCCGCCGCTGGCGAAGACTTTGATGCACGTCGCCCCACGGCGGATGAGAAGGCGAACCGCGCGGCGACACTCGTCCACTCCGTCCGCGATGATCATCGGCCCGGTCCCCGGCGCGAGCGCGTTCGCCTGCGTATCCCGCACCCCGAACATCGAGTCGACGAACCCGGAGGGCAGGTCGAAGACGTCGCCGTGGCCTGCTGTCTGAGATATAGCAGCCCCGGAGGAGTAGATATTTGGTCCGACGAGCGAGCCTTCTGCAATAGCCTTTGACACGTCCAGTCCGTAGCCAGCCAGTTCGCGCACGGAGGTGAACCCGCTCATCAGCACGTCGTGAAGGTTCTTCGCGATCCTCGCGCCGGCAAGGGCGGGGTGTTGGGTTGCCATCTCGGCAAAATTAAACGTCTTGGAGCCGAGGAAGTGTACGTGACAGTCCCAGAGGCCGGGCATCAATACAGGGACATCTGTTGTGGGAATGTTCTTGAACGGGGGTGGCAGCGCAGAGGTCGGTTGGATTGCCATTATGACTCCGTCTTGAAGAACAACTGAGTAGTTGTGGAGGGGTTCGCCGCGGCCAGGGATGAGAAGCGTGGCGTTGATGAGGTGTGTGTTTCCTGGTCGGTGATCTGCTAAAGATGCTGGAATGGAGGATCGGTTAGAGGCATGCCGAAGGGGGAGCTGTTCTCGTGGTCTTGAAGACGCACGAGATGGCTCATGATTGGGGGCCACGTCATGCTGAGATCGTTGATCACTACCAAGGGAGAAGTGTTCGAGTTCTGAGCCAGTATTGATGGTCCCAGAGGTAGATGGTCTCGACGACCGGGTCGGTAGCACCTTGTGTCGTGTCATGGTTGCGCGCTCGAGAACGTTGCTGGCAGTCAATATCGAGTACTGCTTCGGAAATCCGGATGTAACGGTCTTGAAAATGCAGGTGTGAAAGGGTGTAGGACCGCAATGCTACCAAAGAACTTCTGCTAATCCGCTACCATCAATCCTCCCGGTGAGATCGAGATGCTATCGTTCTGGCTGACGGTCTATTGAGCAAGATGTAACCGAAGCGAAGGTACTGAAAAGTCGCCGAGGCAACGACGGCGGCTGCGCAGAGGGAAAGTAGGTGGCCGCTCCGTTTCATAGAGCGCGGCGTAACCGTAGTTGTAGCCTGTAGCCGCCCTTCTAATTCTTTTGGACCTATTCTGGTTCTGTGTTATGTTCCTTTCCTTCTGACAGCAGTTTCACAATACAGTGATGCAAAGTCGGTCGGCGCCCGGGGAAATCCGCCTCCGACTGAGGTGACTTGCCTCTTTTGGTATGGTCGGAATATGGCAACCCGCCGCTTTTGATGTCGCATGGTATTTTCGATTGCCAGTCTTCGATATCTGGTATTAGCGAAATAGCGTGCAGAAGCAAAAACTATGAAGAGAGAGGTCCCAAGACTGAGAGTATGTCCCTATCCATGTCAGGCGGTGGTGGTGTCGACAACGTCACCTATGGCTGAAAATCCACAAATACGCAAGTCGCTTGAGAAGTCTATGCAATCAGTGTCGGAGTTGATGGAGTGAACTTCCACCATGTTCTGCTTCATCAGTAAAGAATAAAAAGTCACGGATACTTGTGAGCATTGTTGCGTATCTTATAGAGTATATTCGACAATTCTGGCTGGATATTGCAGTATACCGTCAGCACGGACTCTAGTTGCATAGCTGCACTCTGGCCCGACACTCTCAATATACGAACTTCTGCTATCGTTTACCGAGTATCCTCTTGCTGAGAGATCACGGCTTGAGAAAGACTCTCAAATCCAGAATCTAATGCTGCCCTTCTGATATTCTGTGTCTAGGCTCCTTGATGGTCGGAATCTTCATGTGCCCGCCTCCGCTACTACTTCTTGTTGGGATGGCGGCTCGATTGAGCTAAACCACCCGCCTGTTCTTACCGTCCTTGCGAGCGTCGAGTTGGTCATACCCTAGGCACCGTGGACCAGGCACAATGCGCCGTCCGTATGAAGAGAGAAGGATATCAGAAGACGACGAGAGAGACCGGACCTGGGAAGTAGTCTGCTCGAGCCTCAATCCACGTATTACTGGCCTGTTGCCTCCGTTGGCGCCCTAATGATTCAACATTCGTTTACTTGCCCAGCTCCACTGCTCAGTAACTTTGCCCGCGAGGCCGCAGCATCACTGTCGCCAGCCCTCCAAGTCAAGACCCTGTCTACAGCGCTACTCCAGATATCGAGAACGCCCTCCCCGGGACGATCTTGGGTTGGTGTGCGCGACGCACCGAGTATTCAGACAACCATCTGCACCGGCAGCGGGCCGGCTTACTATGTCCCCTACCAGACACCCTACAGTCAGGATCGGCTTGCCTGGGCGGTGTCATCTTGTTTGTACCGCAGCATCAGCCAGCCACTTCCACGAGGAAGGCGGCTCCTGTCCTACCACATCCCGCACAACACGGCCGACATGACTCCAGCCCCAGCTATGCACTAGGACTCACACTTGGGCTGGCCCACGGGATTGTTCTGCCAGATATCGACGCTGCCCTCAGCTATGGCTGGGACGTGAATGTGCCTGGCTTCAAAGAGCCGTCAGCAACATTTGGCCCAGATGCGTCGGAAGGCCATGCAAGGCTCGACTCCGTCCGTGCTGTCCTTTCCTCGCGACTTGGCCTCTTCCCCACCCCAGGGTAGTTACGCCATGTAAGGATCCTCTGGTGGCTTGGTTGCGAGAGGATAGTCTGCAGAACCGCAAGTTCAATATGCTCCTGGACTCAACTTCAGCAGCGTTGCTCTGGGCGGCATGGTCAGCAACGGATTGACAATATTGCATGCCATCAACGGAACAGTGATAGCGGGACTGATCCCGACGTGCTTGGTCGGAGTAATGAAGCAACACACTGCTGCATACGATGCCATGACAAGCAAGCTCGAGACGTCGGGTACGTACAACGCAGCGACGTTCCTGGCCGTTCAGAACATATCGTGCTCCGAGCCGCGACCACGGGTATGAACCAAAGCATTTTGCATGGCTACTTCATGAATGGCAGCTCGGTGGTCCAGCTGCCATTCTTGCAGAAGGTTTCATTACAAAACGGGCTGATGGGAGGCGATGGCGTGCCGCAGATTTCCGTGTGCGTCTACAATGCTGTAGACGACATCTACAGCTACGCGAACGACACTGCCAGGCTCGTGGCCAAGTGCCGTAAAGCTGGGACTACCGTCCGATGCGAGAGGAACATGGGCTCCGAATCATTTCGACGAGGAAACAAATGGCGATGCGAGGGCGTTGAGCTGGCTTCGAGCTGCGCTGGACGGGTCGCTCGTGTCGTCCCAGGGGTGCGGGACTCAAAACGTGGCGGTTACTATCCATTTCCATGCTCCATCTACGCTTCCATCGTGCATGAGCGGGAGTAAATTCGGCTTACTGCTCCTGTATAGCATATACGTTTTGCCACTGTTCTGCATGCCATCCCGGAGAACGATTGCATCCCGTCGCTGAGCCGTCAAACCTGCGCACAATCGGAACCGCACAACGCATTACCAAGCGCATCTGGTAGGGAGCTGGTACGCCACATGGGTTAAAGTGCACAATTGACTCTAGCATTGAGCAGTCGACAGTGTACTGACAGGCAACGGTCAACCGTGATATTCGTCAAAATTCAAGTCCCGGCCGTGTCCGTTATTTTGAGTTCTTCCATAGGTATGGAGTACTGTGTACTGAGGTCTAGAACAGCAGCAGCCTCACACCACCACAAGCCACATCGGGGGCAGAGTCAGGCAATCATGCTCTTCCGCGGAGGAGATCTTTCCAACGTCACAACCCTCGGCCTGACCGTTGCGCCATGATTGAGCGAGAAACACGGCAGGAAACGGTGTTCAACCTTTTCGATCTCTCGGGAAGCATTCCGCTGGAACTCAAACCGATGCTTCCCGTGTCGCTGGTTGAGCATGCATCACTGCATGTGCCTGCACCCCCGGACGACTAAGTGTGGCCCGAAACCGTTGAGTGTCTCGCGTGCATATACCCCAGTACTCCGTAAACCCGGAAGCGATTGTCGTATTAAAGACAGGGTGGTCGGTCTCGACCTCACGAGACAAGAATTTGTGGCGAAAAAGCAAACAGAAGCTACAGGCGAGGGACGGGAGGCACTGAGACCATCGAATCTTGGTACGAGGTAGGAGGGATCTTGATGGTAAATCCGCTCAGGTCGACGATGATCGAGTGAACTGCCGGTAACTCTCATGAAGAGGAGGCATTTGGGAGAACGTCGGTAGCCACCGCTGATCGTTTCTGCGACTTGTCAATGTCTTGTGGATGATCAGGTCGCGTCCTTGACCGATGTGTTGTACGAGTGCAGTACTGTGGACGTGCAGTGTACGGGGACACTCGCGTAGAGTTGCATGCTGGACTAGGGATGGGAAATCATGAGGCCATTGTGGATTTCGATACGCCGAATGATGCAAGACTGAAACAACAATCTCTCGATGGCTCGCCTCACTGCTCAGTTCTGTCTCTGATCGGCTGGTCAACGGCCAAAGTGCGACGGCGGCCCATGCTAGCCAAGAAAGTAGGGCGAAGCAGAGAGAAAGTGGTGGAAGGCAGGCTACGGTAAAGCGCGACAACGATCAGCGCATGTTTGCCACCCTCACTGGCGGCGTCTCCCGTCAGTCCAGCACCGTCCGTGTCTCAATTCGCATCGTGTCGCAAGAAAATTTCTCCAGCGCAGATCCGAGCGGCGGCACAGCCAGATTGGTCATTAGCCTCACGGATTCCAGGCTAACAACCTCGTGATCCGTCCCTTGCTCGCGTCGGCCTGTCACTCGAAGCGCGGCCGTAGCCATTCTCGTCCTAGACGCACCTCCTATCTTGCCACCTTCAATGGTGACTCGTCAGGCAACGTGGCTTGATCGCTGTCAAACCAGGTCAGCACCAAAATTCGCCTGTCACCGAACACGAAAAGGGTTTCCGTTGCCTCACACAGGCCGCTTGCCGGATGTCCTGTGTACTGAGAGTTTTTGGTCTTCTCATACGTAATCCTGTGTCACCCAAGACCCTCAGAAGCTGTGGCATGCTTCGACTTCGCTCCATGCGAAGCTCGTGTTACGACCAGTCAGCGTAGGACGCCACTCCCCAGCGAGCCTGGCAATTTCTGGTAGCCGGCCCTCTCCTGTGCGTGGTTGGGCGACTGGGACAAGATTCGAACCGCCCAACAGCCCATAACCCATGCAAACACGCCTTAGGACGGTTATCGATGGCGATCCTGAGACACGCGACTACCGCATTATCCATTCTCAACTGCCTCCAAGCGTCCCACAGGCTACGCGCTGAATCAATTTCGGTAAGGCTCTTAGTGGAGACGCTTGACACCTCTGACTTCGCCATTGGCCACGTCTCGTACTCCTGATCTGCCTTCTGCTTTGGAAAGACGACAGGAAACGCACATGGGTCACATGGACAGGGTGCAAGCGGACACTCACTACCCTCCACTATTGAAGTTGTGATGCGGATCATGGCTAGTATCCAGATGTGCTGAAACAGTTCGGCCCTTTCACCTCTAGCCCGTTCGTGGCGACTCACCAGTGTCAAGTCGCAATAATTGGCAAGCCACAGCACAAGGTCGGCAGCCGACAATTCCGCCGAGGCTGGCACTGCAGCGTGACCCTAAGGCCCCGGAGGCAAATTGGCTGCAGCGCGAGAACGGTCACACTACTGTGTACGACTGTCGACTCGTATGGGAAGTCCGGCGAGCAGTCATGTTCAGCCCAAACATGTACCCTGCCACGTTCCTTCAGCGTAACCGACACTTCCAAAGTTGGTGGCTGACTTTTGTCAAGGCCTAACACTTTGGGTTTTCAAGTCACATGTAGCATGGGAGCCCGTCTCCGTACTGTGTAGAACGCCGGCTTCTCCTGAGCAGGCTGGTAGCGCTGACCACTGCGCGACCCTCGCCTGGGGAAGGTAATCGACACCATGGGAGCCTTGTCCGTGAACAAGACTCGAGCTGCCCGTCGCCCCAGGCGCTTTGAAAATCTCCAGTGCTAAGAATGACTTTTGGGGCGTGCATGAATGGAGGTGGAGGGGCAGAAGCTTTGCATGCTTCTGCCTCTCTTCCAGCACACCCTCGGGCTGGGAGTGGCTATGGCAAGGCACAGTTGATTGGATACGGATTGTGATTGGGAACGAGGATTGCAGCCCGAGCAAGTTCGAACCCGTCAGAGCGAAGGTTAGTGCCTCAGGAGTCAAAGGATACGCAGCTTTGCCGCCTGCGTACATCGCAGACCGGCAGGCCGCAGTGCTCAGTCGCTCCATTTTCAAGTTTGGCTCTCGAACCCGCCATCTGGCACCCAGGATCCATCCTGCTTGACACAGCGGCGAATGGCAGCAGCGGGTGTGCGAGCCAGCGCTAGCACGTCCACCTCTTGCAGGCGCGAGGCGCAAAGGGAAACACGATCTAAGCATCTCACCGACCAGGCTCCTGCCCGACCTGCCGACAGTCGATCTGGTAGGGTCGCTCGTCTCATGTCGGATGCCGTCTGTGCTGGCGCCCGAAGTATCCAATTACACTCGTCCTGGCCCACTCAGTGACCGAATCCCTCTCCAAGTCTCCTGTTTCCCAAACACGATTTGGGCAGACTGACCGACCTAGGGCAGGGGAGAACACAGCAGACGGCAAAGGGCGACCACGGGTGTCCTGTGGCATGTCACGCTGGAGATTGCCCGAAGACAGCCATGGCCTCAAGTGACAAACATGTTCACCACCCGTTGCCCTGGTGGGCAGAGCGGTGAATTTGCGAACAGGTGAAGCCAGAGCACGCCAGCCAATTGAAGCGAAAGTGGGCTTCGGCTCGACCATCCCTCCCTCTGGGTGCTCTGCGTCTGTGGTGGATCTTGAAGCGTCGCCAAATCTGCAAGCATTCAAAACGCGCAGCGATGATTGGGATGACTGGGATATCATCTCGCTGGGCTGCGGCCATTGGGTGACATGCTAGCGCAGGCGTCCGGTCTCGCGAGGAACGCTGATCAGTGGTGACCAGAAATGCGCCCAGCCACTGGCTGATCCGTCCATGTTCGACCCTTTTCTCAGGGCCAGTGCACCAGGGCCAGCCAGGAGGAGCCGGGGCGCGCAGAGCCCACCCTGCCGTGTCTTCCCAAACCTTGCCCGCCTCGTCTTGCTGCCTCTGGCCAGCCTAAACCGAAACCGCTCATAGCCGACTCGTCATCCAGCGTCTCGAGCGTCAGACTACGGCCCAGGGCATGCGAACCTTGACGCATTGGTGTGGGTCGCCTCTTTGCTATTCGCAGCATCTTCTGACAGCGTCTTTGCCCCACCGCCACGGGTGTCAATGGGGCATTGACGTCCGTGCGTCGACGCTTGCCATGTTCGCCATGCCCGTATTAAGTTCAGCGGCCGTCATACCTCCAGGACGTTATATTGCCCTCTATACCTCGCTTCACCAGCCATACCAACACCAGAAACACCAGGAATACTTCGCCGACCCGACCACCAGCCTCTCGTCTCTCCTCACCTACTCTTACACTCCATTACCAGCACCTCTACTTCTACCTGGGTCCTTCTGCTCTTCGAATTTCCGGTCTCTCCTTAATCCGCCACGCGAGTTTCCATTCCGAACAACCCTCTCTCATTCCGTTGGACGAATATCATTCCCAAGGACCGGCCATTTCTGTTCCATTTTGTTCAAAACATAGTCTCTGGACCTCCTCTGGACCCATGTTTTGAACTGTTCTTTTGGTCTTGTTCGACTACTCCTCTTTTCCTAGACCAAGTACTCCGTACTTTTGGGCTCTCCCAATAATGCTATTGACGCCTCCTCCGTCCCCTCAACTTGCGACTTCCCTTGCGCCAGAGGACCGACTGGGGTGTGTATTGGCAGGCCGACTCGAACTGGTCTCAATCCTAGGAATTGGTGCGTACGGAGTGGTCTACCAGGCCATCGACAGACTTACGAACATCCCCTATGCGGTGAAAGCTCTCCCCAAAGCTGGATTGGATCCCCGGCAACGACGCTTTCAACGACGTGAGATTGCTCTGCACAACCAAGCAAGCAAGCATCCCAACGTGGTGTCCCTGTTGCGCATCTTGGAGAGCCCTGACTGCACCTATGTCGTGATTGAGTTCTGCCCCGAAGGCGACTTGTTCTCCAACATTACTGAACACGGCCGTTTCGTGGGAGATGATCAACTGGCCAAACATGCTTTCCTGCAGATTCTGGACGCTGTCCAGTATTGTCACTCCATTGGAATCTACCACAGGGACTTGAAACCCGAGAACATTTTGGTTACCAACAATGGCCACACCGTCAAATTGGCCGATTTTGGACTCGCCACCACGGATTCCGTCACTTCCGACTTTGGATGTGGGTCGACATTTTACATGTCTCCAGGTACGTCCGGC